CTCACAGGGTGATAGTGAACAAGTACCTCGCAGCAGGTGACGCCACAGCCGCACATGGGCAACCATCGTCCGACACACCTGAGCGCGCGACCCGCCTTGCCAATTGACCCGCTCCACCCGCGTCGCCGCGGCTGATGCATCCTGTGCGCACCCCTGGCGTCTGTGCGCCCTCCCCTTGACGGCCCCAGGGCGAGACGTCCATAGGTTGGCGCCTACGCTGCGCGAGGCGCTGTCCCAGGATGCCTCCTGGCAGTACATGGCGCACAACGGCCCAGAGTCCATCTACAAGGGATACAGGCGCGCATTGTGCTTAGCATCCGCATTGGGTCGTTGGCAGGCAAGAGAGCTCACTCCAGAGGGTCCTCGCAGCAACTGCCGCTGCCAGGTCTGCGGCATCATCGCTTGGGTGGGCGTGCCGCACCTGGCCTGCCTCCTTGCCAGAAATGCAGGCTTAAATGTGCACGTTGCGCCTGAGATCTGTGGACATTTTCCCCCCTTGCCCCTGCCACCCTCCTTTCAGCTGGAGCCTGGATACGCAAGTTGACTTTGCCTGGCGCCAGCTCGGCACGATGTCGATGCTGCTGGTCGCCCTGCTTGTGGTGGAGACCGTCTGCCTTCAGGTGCGCGAAATACGCCCCAAAATGGTTTGAACGGCTGTGGGTTTTTGGGCTGGGCGCGTGCACTGCGTGTGCAAGCGAATGTACCTTGCACGTCTCTGTCTGGCTGCTCTCCATCCAAGACTGTTTTGCTGCGACGGCTGGCTGCAACTCTGGCATGCCGCCTACCCGTCTCTCATTATGTAGTGCAAGTATCCATGCGTGCCCATTCTCCTGTGCACCGCAGGGGGTCGCCCTGGCGTACCAGCTGTACCTGGTTCGCACCGCCAACCTTCAGCACATGCGCCGCTTCAGCGTGTTCCTCGCCCTGCCCTCCGCCGCCGTCCGCGCCATGGCCACGCGCCAGCTGGTGGTGAGCATGCCGGCAGTAACCCTGGTTGGGCTACGCGTTGCGCCTGCCAGGCGCCACAACCCAACTCTGTGAGGTAGCGGAGGGTGGGTGTGGGCGGACGCTGAGCACAGCCTTCGCCATTGCCAATCACCGCGTTCGCTGCCCCTACACGCTAACCCCTGCATTTGTAGGTGGATGATGACACCGAGGATGCTGCAGAGGGCGACGACGACAACGCAGAGGCGCTCATGGCCGCTGCCGCCGCCGCCGCCGGGAGCGCAGGCGCCACGACCGCCGACCGCGGCCGCTCGCTGCAGCAGAAGAGCGTCCGCATGTCGGTCGTCGGTGATGAGGACGGCAGCGGCGACGAGGGCGGGGGCGAGAGCAAGAAGAAGAAAGGCAGCTCGGCTTCGAAACGTGTGCGCTCCGGCAAGGCTGCCTCGCAGCTGGAAGAGAAGAAGGCCAAAGGCTTTGGCCAATGGCTGTCCGCCGCGCTGTTTGGCTGGCTGCACGCCACCATGAAGGTGGGGACGCGAAGCGCTGTGGCAGCAACACCGTGCACTCACGCTTAAAAGGCAGAGTAAAGCTGCGGTCCACGCTGCCTCTGTGCTATACCCCACTGCCTCTCTCCAGCTCTGTGAGCACACCCGCACACCTGCCTGCTGCCCCAGGTCAACGGCAAGAAGCTGACCCCGAGCAACACCGTCGTGGGGCTGTTCATGCTGCCCCTGCTCGCGTGGGCAGCCGCCGTGATCATCATTTTTGGCGTCACATTCGTGCGACTGGGCAGCCTGCAGGGGCCTCTCGCATCCCTCAATGCGGCGGCTCACGTCACCTATCGCATCAGCCGTGTGCGCCTGATGGTGAGGCGAGCCTGGATCTTCAGATGTCAACTTTGATTCCCGCCAAGCATGGCGGGGTTTGAATGCCCATACTGTGCGCTGGACGTTCACATAAGCAATGCATATAGAGATTTCTATTGACATCAGCCTTGCCAAGTACATCATCATAAAGGTCTTGCATATTTAAGGTCGGTGTGCGCGCACACAGGTGCACGCACACCGACCACCAACGCGAGCACACACACACACACACACACACACACACACACACACACACACACACACACACACACACACACACACACACACACACAC